GTCTTGAACTGTTCTCCTTAGAAATGGGCTGTAAAAGTCTCTTGGTTTAAAGTGAAGGGTTGAAAGAAAGTAATTTACTTTTGCTGGAAAGATCAGGGAAATATAATCCCCTGAAAATACCTTTTTCAACATGAAATGCATGTAATTCCAGACAGTTCAGTAAAAATAAATTACATGTTGCTACTCAAATTACAGTTTTCAGCCAAAATAAAATGTAGGTATGGGTAAAATAAAGTATACATGACAGAACAGTGGTGCGCTATTTTATTTACACAAAGCTTTACATGTTTTCATGTAATTTATGTTTTTAACTCAAGCAGTTTTGATTGTCCAACACTGTGCAACACTTAATTCTTGACATGTATTTTGAATATAGCAATTTGAAAATAACTGTTTTATATTATATAATACCTCCCAATAGTACCTTATAGTTGTGATACACATTTATGAAAATTGTGATTACAAGATTTTGCTGATGACAAGAAAATGGAGTCAGCATACTATTTTAATTTTTGTTCAAGTTCATTTAGATTTCATATTTTATGGTCATTACCTCTACCAAGTTCTGTTTTTTCCAGCATTACTTAGTTTGTTAGTGTTTTAGCAGGATACTGCAAACAGTTATTGATGAATTTTCATGAAATTGTCACAAGGACCAGTTGACTTTGTAAGTTTGGATGAGATTTAAAATATTAATTGTTTTTACATTGCCCATACCATCAAAGATGGAGGGGAAAGCTATATTAAGGGAAAAATTGTTGTCAAGCGTTGTCGTTGTTGTCGTCGTGAATAATTGTTAATGTGTGCACAATAACTTTACTAATTCTATTCCAAACTTCATCAAACTTGGTCACCTTATTCATCAGTGTAAAGTCTTCACTGAGTTTAAACAACAGATGTCCTGTATGAAAATATCATGCAAAAATTGAGAAAATCTGATAAAATATTTTGAGTGTTTCTACTTGACTGATCACTGGTGATACACATCAAAGGTCACTGATCTCAGTGGAAATATGCATTGTTGTATGTGTTCAATGAAGCAAATCATTAAAATTGTAATAATATCCTTGGTAATGTATCTCCCAAATCCCATGGGAATACTATACTGGGTTTAAAAACCAACTCATGGAGAGATTTTTTACACAGTCTGATACACAATTGCAAACCTACCAATAAAATCTTTACAGAAAACAAAATGTCAGAAAATCAATATAAGTACTCCTATGAACTGGGTGCCAAACTTTGATCAAGATCTGAAGCTAATAGAAAATCTGTTTAGTTCAAAGTTATCAAATTTAAAACAATACATAAAAAAAAAAATACACAAAAAGCAAAACGTTGCATCCACATTTTGAAAAGAAAATTGTACTAAAATATATGTATTCTGTATTTGACAAACAGTTCATTCGACAAATGAAAATTTTCAGGAATTTGTTTCAGCTATTAGAAATATAATACAAATTTAAAAATGCAATTCAAAAACAAAGATTGAAGTGTGTTGAAGATGTAGATTCTCAGGAGGCAACAGTACTGTTGACTTCTTTCTCCACTGGACACCAACTAACTATTTAAGTTGATTTGCATACAAAGCAGAGCTTGCAACATGATAGCTATTCATAGAGGGTGTGTTTTTTTACATTTCATATAATACAGTAGTCACACAATGAATATAATAAGGCAGTTCATATTTGTCTCAGTGAATCATTAATTTTTGACAGACACCTGTACAAAAAAAAAAAGCTGGAAAATAGCATCTAATCAAGTATTACTTATATCACATTATTACTTATGAATTATGATATATATCGCTTTTTCTTCCTAGGTGTACGTGCAACGTTTACTGGTGTTGCTTATGTTCATTGGACTGAGAGTGAGGGGTCTGGAGACCATAGAAGAACGGTTAGCTACTCTGCTAAACAAGTATACTTTGAGGAAGTTGTCACATTGTGGGGAAAACGTGAGTATGACCTCTAGTTATTTTTTCGATGAGTGTTGGGTATACAGATAACACCTGTTGATTTTAATAATCAAATTTGTTTTATTTTGATTAAAAATAAATTTGATTATAATGAAATTTGATCTATAATGAAAATGCAGCTATCTTATTGGCTGTTTATTTCTTATTTATCTATATAGAAGGATAGATAAATGAATATTTATAAACTAACTACCGTCTGTATTCTTCTTTTAGTTCATACTTTCATAATACATGTACATTCAACTACTTCATGTGTTTTATCATTTTCAAAATCTTGCATGTGCTAAATGTTTATGCAGAATATTATACCTTTAACATATATGGGAGATTAAAGTCAAATTGCTCTCCCAGTGGCAAGCAAGAATATGTCTTTTACTCTGGGAACTTTATGAGCTAAATACTGGCTTTGACTTTTAATTTTTAATGCATTTCAATCATCCCAGGAATTACATAGTTAAATCTGTGTAGCATCGCTTTGTTGTATTTGTTATTTTACGCAGCAATCCTAGTCATTTTCCAAGTCAACATTTCCACAATGCACGTCTCTTCCTGATCCCATGCCAAATGCAAACAATGCGTGCATGCACTTGTTTTCAGAGGCAGGAGACCGTCAAGGAGATAATCCAACACTACCTGCTGGAGTTCATCAGATGCCTTTTAGACTGCAGCTTCCAAATACTGGCCTACCAGCATCATTTGAAGGAAAATCGTATGGTTATGTGAGATAATCTATAAAAAGTAATATTGATAGACCATGGAAGTTTGACCATAATACAAAAAGAGCATTCACAGTGACAGGATTTCCAGTGGATCTGAATAGAGTACCAAATGCTATGGTATGTGGTATTGATATAATATCTTTATTCACACTTAGATCAGAATTCTCACCTGCCTGTAAAAATACTCAATTAAATATCAGTTTCGGGGTAATAGAAACAGATTGAACATAATCATCAGTGAAATCGCCTTGAATTAATGAATATCATTGTTTGTGTTGTGTTGGTTACATCTACCATGTCTTCTAAGGCATGTCATTGGGGTGGGAGTGGTGAGTTAGAAAAGAATGAGTAAAAAAAAAACATTTATAAAGAGAATAAATATGCATGCAAAATGTGATAACAGTACAGTGAAAAAAATAATAATAAACTTGTTGCTTAATTTTCATAACTGTTTTTTGCTGACTGAACAACATAATATACATTTTCTGTTGCTAAATATTAAAATATTAAGGTTACTATCACCCCATATCAAAAAAAGTTGAATTTTGTAAAATGTCTGAACAATATGAGAATGATATCAATAGTAATGTGTGACTTTGTCATTCGATGTCACCAAGCAAAACATTTATATATGAAGAAATTATTCACCTTAAAAACCAAGTGTCAAAATGCCAATTTTTGCTGTTTTTAATGACATTTCAGTCTCTTTTTTTTTTCTCAAAAAATTATATAGTGACCTAATTTTTTTTTTAATTTTGAGTTTTAAGTATTCCATTGATAATGAAAGCATGAAGAAGGTGACATATAATCTTGAATTCAGCCTGAATGATATTAATAATGTAATAAAAATACCTTTAGATTTGGAGTGATATATCCTGGCATTAATTTCTCACTGTACATGGATTAAATTTCAAATTCATTATTTGTTATTATGATACAAGAAAGTGGCAGACCTATAGTAGTTGGATCTAGAGAGTTATCAGTTGTACATGTAGTAAGACAAGTTGATTGGATTCCATTGTAGCTGTAGATAATTCCCACAACTGTACTGCAAAGAAATGTATAATTAATTTCCAGGAATTTTTGTGTATGACAACTCCTACTTTAATACTGTGTTTAATAACTGCTTTAAATAGTCTCTGTGAATATGGATACCCCATTGAAATTAAAAATGTCAAATGGTACATAATGAAAAGCATGTACTAAAATGCAAATAATAATCATTTCAGCATTATTTGTTATTATCTCAAATAGAACTATAAACAACTTGCTAAAAAAATTAAAAACAGCTCACTAAAGAAGATGCATTTAGAAAATTTTGTCCTGATGGCTATGGGAGTTGATAAAAGAACAGGGGAAACAGGAGGGATACACCCAAGGTAATATTGCAAATCAAAAAATGTATAAATAATTTAAAAACCTCAATAAATATAATATGAAACATTTTGACATTGAAGGGAATCTGAACCATTTTTAAAAATAATTAATATGCTGAAAACATACCAATTTTCCAGTCAGAAACTCATAAAAATATTAGCAATTTATAACAACTTACTGGAATGTGTGAAATTAAATTTATTTGGAAACATTTATGCCATGGTTAAATCTATTCTGTTATACTGCTTGGAAGTATTGTCTGGTGACATCATTAGACAACAACAAAACTTCATAAACATGTTTCTGCCAATGAAAAAAAAAATATATATATATACCGGGTAAAAAAGCAATGTGAATAGAAGAGGAACAAACCTAGCCTGTTTGTTAGAACAAGGGAGGCTCCCATTGATTTTGTCAGGCATCAAACAAATGGTGAAATAAAGAATAAATACAATGCCAGAAAACACACTCATCAACTAGGATAATGTTGATACACAAAACTGGGTATCTAGCTGTAAACATGTTCTAAATATAATAAACATGAAAGACGTTTGAGAAGAAGCAATATTTGAAAACAGAAATGGTTTAAATGAAACATTATTAAAACGAAATTTCAATGAAATATTGCAGATACTTTGAATGGCACTAAGGGAGCAAATAACAAAAATGAACTTGGCGTACATTTAAATCAGATTTCTCATTTGAAAAATACTTGCATATACATTGTAATTAAAAATCCGTGTCACTAACTAAATTGAAAGAAGCAGATATAGCAATGTTAATGTGTCAGGAAGAAAATATCATATTCATAAAAAATCAAGACATTGAAAGCGAGCAACATTATTTGCTCAAATTCAATCTTTCCAATCATGAAAAAAACATTTTATAAACAAGATTAAAATGCCTGAAACAAGAGAACAGATGAGGAAGAACTAATATTCATTCTGGGAAATGAGGACAATATAATACTTATTGAGTTAATGACATATTTTGGTAATTGTTTCACCTAAAGAGAGGAGAGCATTAAAAGCACTGAATCTGCTGCCTCAGTAATAATATGTACTTCTACCTTGTAGCTTTGCTACCTACATATACTAATAAATTCTTTGTAGTACAATACCAATGTATCTACCAGTAGAGCTACCTCTACCATCTAACATTCCTGTAGATACAGTTATTCGGTAACTACCTTGTAGTCGCAGTCACGCTGCTTTTACCTGTATTCTGTAGTTGTAGTCATGCTACATCTACCAGGACATCTCATTTACTAATTTTAACCCATTTTTAATATAGTGTTGATGGTTATACTTTTGTTTATGCATTTTTACTATTCTGATACGCTTTTTTTGGGGGGGGGGGCCCTCATCATGTTTTCGCATTTCTCAGTTAGTTATCGTTGCTTTAGTGCAGCTTAGGTGGGATTCGGTGAGCCCCCCCCCCCCTTATTGGCAATAAATATATTTTTTCATTGTACTACAGCGTCTGCATCATAAATTATATTTTATTCTGTATTTTGACTAATATTTATTATGTATTATTTCTACTTTATTAGCTCTGCTGTTGACAAAGTCAATTGGAGCTATTTGTATGATTTTTGTTTTTCTTGTTTACCTTTTGAGTTTAGCAAGTCAACTTTTGTCACCATTCACAAACTTAAACCTACAATATATTTGATCAATATTTGTAGCCAATGTGAAATTATGTCTATCTGGTCCATAATTAACAAAGAATTTCTATAAAAATACGTACAAAAATTGCAAAATGTGACAACAAAAATGTGGCAGGAAATTTGATAGCGTCAAAGAGTTAAAAAACATTCAGCTGTATGGGTTTCATGCTTTCTACAAATGTACAGTAGAGATTCTCGCTCAGATTTGTTTTTATTTTCTTCTTGCCCTTATATATTTATACATGAGTTATTAAAATTTACATTACCAGTACTAAAAATATAATATAATGCAGATATGACAACTCCTGACTTCTTGAAAAAGGCTACTGAATTGCTTTGATATATTATATGCAGACAACTGGGTGAATCGTGGGTGATTTGTTCATTTTATGGTGATTTTATTTTTATTTTAGTGAATATTTTTGTTAAAAAAATTTATTTTCAACTATCTATTAAACCATGTAAAAGTATTATATCAGCTGTCAAGCAACATGTTATTCATTCACATCAATATCTTAAACTAAAAGTACATTGGATTGCAATAAAGATATTATTGTAGCATTTAAAATTCTATGATTGATCGGTAGTGATTAAATAGTCAGTCAAATAGTCATTTAACAAAATAAAATATTTACAATTGCTACTGTATTACCTGGGGCATTTTTGCAATACTTGCATATTTCTTCAATGCCAGTACTGTAATCGTTCTATTAGTAACACATGCTCTTGTAAATGACACTTGTGTCTATGGTCAAAATAAGCGACGGATTCGTTACCTGTAGCTGTGCATGCATCAGATGGCCATAGCGTGTCATTGTTTACAAACAAGAAACAAGCGTCTACCCATGAGCCTTACTGTGTGATGTTATTGTCATTTTGGAATCAATTCCTGCGCATGCGTAGGTGACAACACCCCCCCCCTCCCCGCGCTTCAATATTTTAATGATCCTTGCAATAAATGATATAAAAATTGTAATTGAACAATGAATTAATCTCTCATACTACATGCAGGTAAAAAGAAATACAGTGATAACTTGTGTTCAAATAATTCAATTATTATGCAACTGCTTTGTAATGTGACAATTTTTTAATTGCTATTTTAGATTGAATATAAAGTAATGCCCATCACGCACATGCTGTTTATTTTTATCGTTCTTTGACTGATGATCCATAAATTTGAATATATACTCAAAAGGGTCAGAACTGTTTGCCTAGCATAACATTGGGACAAATTAAATATTATAACCACATTTAAATTTATCACTTTTGTAACAAGCGTAGTAAATCACTAAAACATTGAATATAACTGCAAACACTTTGCAGTTAGGAGACCTCAAAATTATTGTTTTTCATGAGCTGACCGAATTATCATGAATGGAAAATCACCTATACGTACCCCTACTATCAATGCATTAAATCTCTAGGATATTCTCGTTTACTCTAATACCTAGTATGCCTATGTTGAAGGGATTTAGATTAATCCTAATCTCTTTAATATATTTTTCATGAGTTGCAGAAAATTGCAAAAATGTTTTAAAGCGATGAAAATGTCAATTGTCACCCTGACTTTTTTCCATGAACTATATTGTTGGTTTAGAGTAGATACATGTATTATACCACAGTATATAGTGTAAACTAAGGCGTGTATTCATAAACAATGCTAGGTATGTTGATCGGTAACACGTTACAGTCATTCATCATTGTCGGTTTTCAATAGTTGTCAGTTCAAATCTACCTTTCTTTTGTGTTGTGTGTGATTGTAATAAAAATATAATAATCATTCATTATTAATTCAAACAAATAACTGCAAACTTACACTAAACAGTTTAGTGGAATGAAATATGAAATGATATCATCACGAAATGAACAAATCTGTTATTGGTCCACCCAAGGTACCAACATACCAAGTATCAAAGCAATTGAGCTGATAGTTTTCAAAAAAAAAGAATTGAAGTTACTTATTTCTCAACTATGTTGTTTATGTAATTATGTACATGCACTTATTATTGCTAGACTGTGCTAATCTGCAACAGCAGATAAATAAATGAGAACCTGATTGTCTCCCTTGAATTGAAATTTTGTTTTTTGTGTATTGAATTTGCTTTATCTGAGGCACTTGTCCTTGAAAATAACACTTTAAAATTGAGTTTCATGGGAGTTTAATGCACATAAAAAAAATCCCCCAAAACATTTATTTTTTGGCGTGAACATTCAATTCAATCACAAACTGATTTATTTTAATAGACCTATGGTATTAGCAAATTTCAAGTTATTTAGAAGTAGTAATTTAAAGCATATCTTTTGTTACTGACTGTGTGTTGTCATGACGATGGATGATGTCATAATTTTTTCTCAGGCATGCTAATCTTGAATATCATCTGTTTATATCTTATCAAGGTACCCTTGCGTGAAGAAGATGAGAAAACTGTTTGCTGTTGGTGTTGTGCATCAGGACCTATAGCTATGACTGCTACAGCTGACAGAGCAGCGTATACTCCCGGTGAAAGGATTATTGTCAGCATGGATCTTAACAATAACAGCTCACGAAAAATACACACCACAGAGGCAGCTTTGGTGCAGGTAAATTGATATATATATATATATATATATATATATATATGTAATGGATGTGGAATGTTGTGTTACTGTGATTCAACCAAAGGGACATGCAAATGCCATTGAGATATCATAAAGAAACTGAAAGTCAATAATATAGTACAGTTGAAGCAGGTTAAAAATATTTCAGTATAATTCAGTCAGTATAGGTGCCCTGTCAACTCTGAGGTCCAATCCATAGCATTATAAATTTATATAAAATTTGAATGTGCCTATTACTGTAACTATAGGAAACCCAAGTAGCAAAGCTGAAAAGTCAATAATAATTGACCTACTTTTACACTTTTTTCTTTACTTCCTTCACAGCATGTTCTTTACACTGCATATCGTCGTGGTCATGGCCGTGCACATCATCGGCAGGCCACTGAAAAAGTAGTCGTGTTGCAGGGACAGGGATGTGGTAAATACGACAAAACTGACTGGAGAAACCAAATAATCCAAATACCTCCTGTGCCACTAAGTGGACTGGAGGGAGTCCATTTTATTGACATCCAGTACCTGGTTGAGGTAAAAAAGACATTACATTGGTTGTGGCTTGTTTGATATGCATTCACTCTGAAACTCCCTTATAGATATTTTGAACTTTTGGCAAATGCAACTTTTCTCAGCTATGATTATACAAATCAACGTCAAAGTTTTTTTTCGAAAATTTTGGATACTACCTGTAGCCAGTGAAAAATGGTGCCTTTTGATCCCATGATAACGAATAAATTATACAAACATTTTCTTCAAAAGTTGTGTTAGGAACAACTTGTGCTTTCAGGCTTTTGTTTTCTTTTGAAATATTGTATAGTGTGTTTAATATGATCCTGAAACATTCCTTCTTAATTTAAGATTCTTGTTTTCTTCAGTTTGAGGCTGATGTGGCATCTACACCATTTGACCTATCAGTGAAATTACCAATCACAATCGGTTCAGTGCCTTTACAACAACTCTACGGGTTTGCTGGGAATCGGCCACCAATTGCACCGCCACCTGGTCAAGGATTCGCACCACCTGGTTCACAATTTGCACCACCTGGGGTTCCTTTGACTCAGTCAGAGACTATACCAATGGGAAATGTTGGAGGAACAGCTCCTAGTGCTCCTCCTATGCGTAAGTACTAATCCAGCAATTTTGACTGAAGAATAGTGTTGAACTTAAAGTTATATCTGTTAACATGATTTTCATTATTCACAATTGAAACAAATTCGATATATAGTCAGTGATATTTGGTAATTTTTGACTCAAGTAACTACCTTAAAAACTCAATAACTTTAAAATAATTAGTTTTGAAAAAAAACGGTCAGGTGTTTAGAATGCAAAATAGCGGTAAATTTTAAATTTTTTTTGATAGTAAAAATTCAACAAATATAAAAGTTGGGTTTATACACAGTTACATCACAAATTAAACGTCAAACAAAATTACACACACTTTTCTGCGTTTCACAGTAAAAAGATAATTGTTGCTAATTTTTACGCTAAACCTCAACTCAAAACAAGCTCATCAATCAGTAAGTACCGGTATTATAACAAGAAGAAACATATAGCAGAACGCTGGGAGAAGGCCAGCAAACAGGTCAGAGGAGTTGTCAATGTGGAAAATCATGTTTCTCTAAGATTCAATTTTCGGTTTCATTTCTTAGGCTTTTTACTTGATCTCTGCTCAATCGTATCGCATTGAGCATTTCCATGCGACTGAAAACATTCAACTTCAATTTTACTTGCATTTCAATGACAATTCACCATTTTTTTGTATGTTATTATAATCAGAGTTGTGCAATCAGCAAAACAAAGTTGATTTTTAAGTACCGGTATGTGAGGTACTGTGATCAGTAAGTTGATCTCTTGTGCACAGAATTATCAGGCATGGTTTGAACTTCATTTCGAGAGGAAACGATATGATTTTCGTCACTGGAAAAACAAAGCTGGATGAATTGTCTAAGTTAAAATAAGTGAGCAATTTGGGGTGAGGTTGAAATTTTGGAGGTCACAACCAATTTACAAAATTAAGAATAGTTTATTAGGACAACGACTACCAAATATCATCTACAATATTTTGTTTTTATCTTGCCTTTCAGTAATTTACTCAGTTAAGAAAAGGAATGCTTAAGATGCTCATTTCACATTGTTACTTAACCTATGCAGTGCTCCACTCACTATGGCCATTCCACTAATACTGTAGAATATTTTCGCTTGGAATCAATTTTCGCCGAAGGAATGATTTAGTGAAAATAAAATCCAGCAAATAGACCTTTTTTTCTTTATTTTGCACTCAACTCATCAAAAATCAGTGAAAAGAAATTCCATACAGAACAACCAAAATGTCAGTGTATTCAGTGAAAATTAATTCCAGCTAAAATAAAGTATTTTACAGTACCTAAAATCTATGTGGTGTTACTTTTTAGACTTTCTATGAGTTTCAATTTCTCCTATGTGGTTTTTTCTGGTATCAACTTATTATTAATGATAATATTTATTAGATATTACTAATAAATAGATTTGATCTTGTTGTTCCACTGTTGTTCTTAATTGTAACAGTGACTGGTTGATGTAAATATCTTATTTACAACAATAAGTTATTGAATTTTGTTAGTAACACTGGCATATTTGACAAAAACAACAGCATATTTTTGACATGTAAAAATGAGTGTATTTTGACGTGGATAGAAACAAAGAAACTACAAGAATAAAAATACTAATGATGGCCTATTTTTCACACAGTAAGAACAAGGCTCTGAAATGTATTACATGCCACTAATAAACACTTACCTGTGATGCTATTAAATTTAACGACCTGGATTTACATATGATCCTGCGAAGGTTCTAGGCATTAGTGGAGTGGTGCATAATGAGTGGACAAATTCTAGGCATTAGTGAACTGGCATGTAGTGTGTGCAGAGCTATTCTAGGTATTACTGGGAATAAAAAGAGTATTGTGAACAACGTGTTTTATATCTTTAATCAGGTTTAGTAATTATTTCTGATGTACATTGCTTTTTATTCACAGCGCCACCATCTTACGAACTTTTATATAGTGGTGGTCAGTCAATAAAAGATGCCGAAGACAATGACTACACGTATGGAGAGTTGGACTTTGCACCACGGTATACTTACTACAATTGGGACGCACAAGAACAAACCACTCGTTATTCTTAGGGAAGTCAACTTCTACTTACATCCTTTGGAAATGTGTAAATTATTTTTGGTGCAGTGTCAAAGCATCATAGTTGTCACATTTAAACTTCTTGTAATCCAGTGATGTATTTTATATATATGTGGATACATGTCTCTTTTGTTTTCATAAACCACAATGAAAACTCATTTTATGATAATCAACAGAGCAAAGTCATTTATATTACTGTGATTGTCTGGCATCAAGTTTACAGTTTTGACTTCTTTAAAACAAATGCCACAACCGATCTGACACGTACCGCGTGTGGAACTATGGGGAAAGTGGTTGGAACTATTTCCACATTGTGTCAACACAGGTGGCGCTATTCGGTTGGTTTGCGGCGATCTGCATGTCAATATTGAGAAAAATTGGACCTTTCGCCTCCCAATTTACATGCATTTTAATATTAATAAAATAAAACATTCTGATGTGTGTTGTGCGTTATTTTAATTGATCAACTCATTAAAGATTAAATCTTGCTAAAAATCGAGAAAAGTATACTTGTATATAGTTCCGCGGAAGAAACCCTGAGTAAAATGGTGGCGGATGGATATTTAGCCTTCAGAGGCTAGGTATGCGTCATAAGACACAGGTCTGTGCTGAATAGCGCCACCTGTGTTGACACAATGCACATGTTTTAGGATAGTTCTTCCTCAGATACGTCCATTTCGTGAAAATAACTGCAATTCTATAATTTTTGATTTTTTTTCCTACTGTTTTTTTACTTTTCCTTGAAAATAGCGATTAACTTGAATGATTGCTTTTGATACGTTATATGTATGTACCTTTGAGTGGATCTCTTTTGTAAATGCTGTTTTCAATTTCTTCATTTTGTTTTTATAACAGGGTATAATATTTTCTGTTATTAACTTTTTTTCTGTGCTATTGGTTAGATTGATTTTAGAATATTTATCTCAACAGTGGAGGTATATTAGCTGGCAGGTTGATTATTAAATACCGGTATATTATACTGGACCTTGTAAGTCATTTATATATTATCACTTTGTCACCTTACAAGTCATTGAAGTAATTTTTTACCAGTATTCATATTTACTGGTATATTTATTGTTTGTCAACTTTCTCTTTCTATAGTATTTTATTTTGTATTAAACATGAAATGTCACATATGTAAAAATACAAATTGATATATATTGTGCAACTTTTAGTGTTTCAGTTTTTGATTTTTCAGTTAAAACACAGGGTATATTCAGTTTTTATACATATCGTATATTATATCACATTTACAGTGCAAAAGTTGATTGGAATTTTTAATTAAACTGTTCATGATTTTATTTATGCAACTATTAACTACATGTATACCTTTTGTTGATTCAATACAAGTTAGAATTTTACACATTTTAGTCATAAAGTGAGGGCAAAATTGAGATGCATTGCCTGACAAAAGGTTGGTTGTCGTTGACATTCATTGTATACTTGATCCTCTAAATATGACATCAAATTACATTTCTTTTACTTAGCAGATGCTAAAAGTGGAAAAATGTAATTTTATGTCAGTAAAAAGTACTGTTATAATAATTAAATGTAACACTCAGGAGTAAGTGTGATACGTCTTTATCAATGATTCTTATATTTAGATTCATTTAGCAAATTTTGCAATTAAAATTTTGTTGCATGGAGATAATCTTGAATTTTGAGACAATTTGTGAATCCGTGATTGTGTGAACTCTATCAAAAAATAAATATTAAATAGCTATTTTACATATTATTTATGTGTGGGCTTTGTCATTTACTTGATAATTTATATCTTATTTTAAAAAGTTTAGTTTTCAAATCCCATCAGTAATTTCACTATTCTGGTCAAACGCCAGTCAACTTATGTCAACTACTGTGGAATAATTTATTTTCGCTGGAATTAATTTTCGCTGAAAAGGCTTTTTGGGCGTTCTGTATGGAATTTATTTTCACTGATTTTTGATGAGTTGAATGTGAAATATAGGAAAAAAAGTATATTCGCTGGATTTTATTTTCACGGAATCATCCCTTCCGCGAAGATAGTGAAAATAAATTCCAAGCGAAAATAAAGTATTGTACAGTAGTGCAACATAAACCTGCACAACTCTTTCCACGTTTTTTTCCCAAACATTTGATCAAGATTGTTGGAAAGTATTTATTGAAATATACATAGAAATGTGCAAAATATTTTCAGGAAAATGATGGTTATTCCAATAGATTACATAAGGCATGGAATTCATCTTGCACTCCTGTATTTCTAGTACATATTCATTAGAGTTGGTTAAAGTGTAACTATTTATAAACTATTGGTTGTTGCAACAATCTAACATGTTTTCTGCATGATATTTGTATGCATTCTTTGTTTTTATTTGTACATCTCAATCTGTGTAGATTAATTATATTCATACATTCAAAACATTGCTGCAAAACTCATTTCTACCATCCATCATTCACTACCAAATCTCTGGCATATATTAGTTTAGAATGTCCTGATGCACATTTGTTTATGAGCCAGAATTGGCAAGTCTTCGCAACTTTTCTAAAATTGCCATTGTGAGTGTAATCGGATTCCTTTTTAATAAACCGGTAACGGTCTCATGCCACTAATCAATTTAAATGCCTTGCAAGAACCAATGAAATTTTTTATAAATATTTTTTTTCTCAGGTGCTCCCTGTTTGAGGGCGTAATCACCTGGGTCAAAGGTGAGACCAACATGTGGTCTTTTGTTCACTACTTAGCGACTGTACCTGTGGGTTCATTCTGTGTGTATTTGGATGTTCTAATCTTGGTGTTTTTCCAGTGATTTCTCTAGGTGCAATCTAAATACAGTAGGTGTGTCTTGTTTACCTGAGATTTGCAAGAGTTTGAGCTGGCCAACATGTTAGTTTTTTTCATATGGTTGATTACTGTCATGTTGATTTCCCATTTTTGAGCCATGTTTTCAACTTTCTTCATCATTTTCATATAGCAATCTCATCATATGTTAACATTGTCGTCTATGAAAATTCAATTAGTGGTATGAGCCCTGAAACGTATAGTCTCAAAACAAGGAACTTGCCGTTAACAATCCAAGTGCGCCACCAACGCCAAACATTAAAATTAATTTTGTTTTTATTGACTTTTTTTTATTATAAATCGCGCCCTCTAGTGAAGAAGTGATTTCATCACACGGGTCAGGCGCCATCCTGCGGTCGCACTTGCCTGGGACTGATGAAAGAGAATGGCAAAAAGTATGCGAGGTGATCGTCGATATCGTGTTGGTCTTGTAGCCACGATTTATAGGAATGTCTATTAATGCGACTTTAGGGAAATAGTTTACGACACTTCACATTTGCTGCCATTTGTTACAAAGTAACTGCGGTTGGGTTCAATATAAATACACTTAATCCCATGAAGAAAAAAAATGCAAGAGATGTTAATTTCTATAGCAACGGACATTTTAGTTTCGCAAGATTTTGTCCTCTACATGAAACTGCAAATGGTCTCGGTAACATATTAGATTACACCACAACTATATACCCTCAGTTTCATATAGGTATGAATGTTTTTAATATAAATATTTAATTTCAAATGACTACCCCAATCAACTTGACAAATCACATCGCCTTAGTTAATGAAGGACAGTATTTGAAATTGCCAGTAAAGGAAATGTGCAATGACTCTACTCAACAGCTGCTTACATAGCATTTGAATGTAACAAAGGTCTTCCAGGGTAAATGTTTTATAACTTTCATAAAGTTGTTTCACAATTGTATGAAACCGATGTGTGTGTATATAGAAAAATATGACAATAAACACAAACTTTAAATAACTTTTTTTTATTGTAAATATATTATAGATAGTAGATATGCAGTGGCATGGATATATTTATTTTGATATGTTAATATAGAGAAATGTTTGAAAGAAAAAAAAAAATAGTAGCACAGAATTCAAAAGTGGACAGAATGATACCCTATTTCAGGCCTTACAGTGTATTACCATCGCTTTGTTATACATATTCACTGCATCACATTGAGTTTGATATTTCCCTGGGTCTCGAGTACAATATACATTACAGTCTATACTTGAAATTCAAACCTCCTGCACAACAACTGTGTTGATTTCAGTTTATGAATTTGAGCAAAATGAAAAATAATTTTTGCAACAAGAAATAAACTAATTAAAAACACATTAAATACACATGTATGAAATTATCAACAAATTGAGATTTCTACTATAATCATAAATATTTTATTAAACCACATTTCAAATTGTCTATTAACTTCTGCAAAATTGATAGATTTGTAAATGTCCTGTCTATTTATTCTCTATATCGAGCCCGATTACTTTTTGATTGCAAATCATTTTTGTCCTAGGAGTTCTACATTTACTTTTGTAGTCATGACAGTAGTCAGTGATTGTAACATAGATGATGATGACGACGACAGACAAGTTTCTTATATCCTTGACCTTCATCTACTTGATACAGACAAGGTAAGAAAATGACAGGAAGCAGTTTTGTTTAATATAAAGTCTTAACGGACAACCTTGTACATAGCTAGGTCAGCTAATGGGCTACCTGGTACTTTACTATACACGATTACAAAAATAAATATTAAATGAATTTATTGAAATTTGGTCATCCCATAATTTGATCAAAAGGGCAGCAAGGCGGCATTACGGTTGATGATATGGAATGTGCATGCAGTTAGACGATTTCATTAGGAAGTTCAACATATGCACTGCTCATACTTTTCTAATTTTATTTCAGTTTCTGCTTCATTTTAGGATTAATTCTACCCAGTGACAAAACAAGAATTTAAAAAAAATTAATTAAATTATTATAATTATTATACTAAATAATATTATTTGATAACTTTTGTAAGAAAACTGTACGGGAATGACATTTTGTTATTGGGCCTCCAAAGAATATATTGTATTTTTGATCCGTTTTTAGTTTTCATAAAAAATCATTATGAAAGCACAAATTCCAGAATAAAAATAAGACATTGATAATGACATAGTCCCAGTCTTTTTTCTTATGAGCTAAACATCAGACATTCTAATGAAAAGGGTTGACTTCTGTGTGTAAGGAAAACAATTTCATGCAATTGAAGAAGAAAACAATGACCTATTTACATGTAAATGTGACAGTTTTATTTGGGCCAAGGTTAGTACGATGGTAGATTACATCAATAGAGTGGTGGCGATACAGTTCGTGATGATGGTACGTCAGCAGATATTGTACAAGACAATTTATGTCTTTATCATCAACCTCAATACGAGACACATGATACAAACTGAAGCCATCTTTATTTGTGTGCATCTGGAACAGCATTCGTTTGAACAAAATGACTGGCAGTTAGAACCCATCATATTCAAATGGGCACACCAAATATGTCCATGCATGACCAAACACGAATATGAAACAAATACATATGTATAAGATATATGATGCATGTATAAAGTATAAATGTAATCAGCTCGATTACATCCAGAACTGAAAAAATATTCCAGAAACATATTTTGTTGGCCTTACGCACAGCTTAAAATTTTTGAGAAAACTTTAATTACAAAGTGTATATACAATAATAAATCCCTGTGTGACCATGAGAAATATTAACAAAAAAATAAACAAATATTGAGCATCTTATTCTGAAATTAAACGTGTCATAACTGTCATGTTGATTTGATAAGAATTTACAAATAATTAATCATATATACATAGCTATAGACACTTTTGGCAACCTCTCCCAGTATTCACTGTGCATGGCATTGTGAAACCAAGATGGCAGCCATCACATTTTATACAAGGTTCGGTATTCTTTCCATATTTTGGTGTGTCAAGGCTTTTACAAGAAAAGTAGACAATCATTTACAAAAAACTTCTTTACACTTTGTGATGTTGATCATTATTCTCAGTTCTTTAAAGTTCAGCATTCCTAGAGTTTTAATTCTGGACTGGTCTGCACTGGACTGGACTATCATGTGAAATATTGGATGGTGCAAATACAAAGAAATTGTGATAAATTATAGATGATTTGCTCCCTGGAGATTGCATTTAAGTGAATCCCTACAAATCAATATTGGAACACTATATTCAAAAATGAAATTTGAACACACAATCAAATGGTTGGCCAAGATAATCTTCAACATTTGGACATACAGTATGCTGGAAATTTGTTGCATATATTTCACAGAATTTTTTGCGAAATTTTGGCCATCATAAATTTCACAGAATTGTCCCAAGACCCTCAATATTGCCATGTGCAGTTTTAACACAATGAACAAGATCAACATAAATACAAACAGTATAAATTGTCCTGATTGGATGTCACCAACTCTCGCATCCTAACACTGTTCTATTTCATACACTGGACACTTCTACAACATCAATTCATACTTATTTGGAGTAATTATTAAACTTATCAAACGATCTTACAAGATCACTTAATTATAATAACCAAATGGCAGCCCCAACGGTCTCAGGAGATTTTCCCATGATGCAATATTATGGTATGCAACTTGTAATTTACGGCCTCGGACAAGAAGGCAAGCTGAACATTCCAAATACATTGAGTTCATACATCACGGCAAAACTCATAAATACAGCGTAGATTAATAAAAATATATATCCCAATTTTTTGTCTAATCTCCATTTATTGAGTGCTATGGAAATGAGTAAAATGGAGACGGTAACCAACAACATCAGGGCGGTATACGTCAGTCCAGCACCGTGAATGTAAATGTCGCTTCCGGTTGCTATGACAACAGTTTTAATAAACCATGGTAGTCCCAGACATAACAGAATATCGAATATATTACTTCCTATGGAATTGGATACAGCCATGTCACCATACCCTAACAAAATAAACAGTTACATTGTTGTGTTAGAATTGAAAAACAAAAATTACCTATTACTATTAAGCTGCTTCATTTCTGGATTAACTTCTCAATTTTGCCTAAAAAATGAAGCATTTTATTTTAGGAGTTTGGTTTTAGTGTATAGACATTTCTTGCATGTTCTTGTTCAAACAGGTTTTAGTTTACACACAATTTCAGTATACAGAGAGTTTGGTATCCACAGATTTCCTGTTGACACTTGTTATAGTAATTCAGTTTAGAGAGGTTTATGTTTACACAGAGTTTGGTTCAGACAGGTTTCCAGTTTACAAAGGTTTTGGGTTTACACAAGGTTCAGTTTACAGTTTTCCATTCCAACAGGGTTCAGTTTAGACAGTTTTCTAGTTTATGCAGGTTTTGGGTTTACAGAGGGTTTTGTTTATAAATTTACACTGTTCTGGTTTAACACCGATTTCCAGTTTTGTCATGCGATTCTCTGGACAGGAATAAATGACCAGTAATGTGTCAGATATCACAAGAGTTAACAGACATGAGCAGAACACTTACCATCCTTAGCAACTATTATACTAGCGAGTGCATCTGGTACACTAGTACCAGCAGCTAACAATGTAAGACCCATTATAGTATCTGGTATATTCAAAGTATCACCTACAAATATTAAAATAACAAAAGGAGTGAGTCGTGCACCAATCAATGAATGTCACGGATTGGCTAGCAAATCCTAACAACTAAGCAGTAAACCAATCAGGGAACACCTTGCTTGTTTGGCAAAACAACTTTCACTGCCATATATTGAACTTAATCTATGATGAACAATTTTTCACATTTTTTGCAACTTTTTCAAGTTTTAACGAAAACTTTTGTTACAGCAAGAATACAAAACACTGCTATTAAATTGTGATCAGAGATTTCAAAAACTGATCAACAAATTTTATAGAGGAAGGGAGATTATTTAGATCATGGAAAGTGACAAAAGTAGAAAATGGTGATGAGTGAGCAATCATGTCTCTTTGATCTTATGACTGGAGTTAGGGAGCACTTGGCCCCCTAGATGTCCGGTATTATTTATAGCTAAAAGCTCCATTTCCAAACCAGGGTCAAACCCAGACAATTAGCAATTAAGTTTTATCAAATGCTCAACTATTGGATATAAAGGATGCAAAATGTTGGCGATACACTAACCTATTACTGTGACCATCCAAACCAGAATATATGAAAAGACGGCAATCCACAGCGTAGACATCATAAACGTGAAAATATACCACCTCTTCCAATTTTCGCTACGACAATCCGGGACAGTAGTATATAGAACGGCATTAATTGGGATGGTAATTATCCAAAGTAGTTTCTTCCAATTTTTGTCTGGAATATTCAGCGGTGAATTAGTCTCATTTTCTTCTATACACACCTCATCTTCAGAGATACGAAAAAAAATATTATTTTTGAGGATTACTAGAAGTGGCTAATTCGTAAAAATGTGAAAAAAGTCAAAGCACTACTGTATTTTCACTATTAGTACATAAACACAATTGTTCATTTACATGCACTATTGAAGATGCACAATAGAGCACGTACATGTACTATTTTGTCAAGTGAAAGGTTTCATCAAATAAAAAAAAGTACCTGAAGTTGATTTTGAATTGAAAATTGATCAAAATGCATCCAACTGAAGTATATCCCAAACCTAGTTCAGTTACGTAAATATTTTTTTGAATTTTTCTCTAGCCATACGCAAGAAATAGCTAGACAAAATTTCCCAATATTCAGTGCCAACATGTTTCAGCCATGTTACTTCTTCAACAACAATCTTGTGTTTTTTTTTGTAGAGGCCACTTTTGTATCATGGTATTCAGTTTTGAGAACCGTCAGTTGCAAAAAATTGGACCATTTTCTGTGTTCAATACTACCCTAAATCTAAAATTACCTTGCAACAATGTATGACTGAGTCAATCAGGTCACTGAAGCTCATTTGCAGAGAATGACTTACAATTACTCATATGCACTCTCAAACTAACTTCTAATCAATAGAAAATTTATTTGATTTTTAATTTAAGTATTGTTTTAATAAATAACTTTGACATGACACACTCCTCGCAATTAATGAACTCTGCTTTCAAACAGATAATTCCATAATCATGAAATTGGACTCCAGAGGGCAGTATTCATTAACACAAACTTCTTTATTGGCTACAGGTCACATGCCACTTATCAACCAATGCAGGAACCAATGACATTTTTAAAAATTGTTTTTTCCTCAGGTGCTCCTTGTTTGAGGGCGTGATCACCTGGGTCAAAGGTTAGATTAACATGTGGTCTTTTGTTTACTACTTAGAGGCTGTGTACCTGTGGGTTTATTGTGTGAATTTGGATGTTCTAATTTTGGTGTTTTTCCACCGATTTCTCTTGGTGCAATCCAAATACAGTAGGTGTTTACCCGAGATTTGCAAGAGTTTGAGCTGGCCAACATCTTATTTTTTTTCATGTGGTTGATTACTGGCATGTTGATTTTTCATTTTTGAGCCTTGTTTTTAATTTTTGTTTCAATTAGTGGCATGAGCCCTACACTGAGCCTCTCCACACAATAAAGATGGCCATACATTGATCTTTATGTTTTAAATTCAACAAACCTTTCTTTTCTAAATCAGATGGACTTTTTGCTTGGAGGCTTTCATAGTCGTTCTCCTTAGTAATAACACCATTTGCAGTGGAGATGGATTCTTTTTTCTCCGATTCTTCCACAATCTCAAACTTAAGAGTGTTCATATTTTCCTCCATCATTTCAATCTCTTCCAATCCTATATCCCTACGATTGGAAGGCGTGGCTAAGGAATCAAAAACTAGGGGGCTCTTTTCCTCCGTTGACACTCTATTGTATAGCATACATGTATGTTTATTCCACAGGGTCACTCGACTGATAATTACACTACTTATACGCTGGTTGAAAAACATCAAAAGTATATACAGTGCATATAAAATCAAAAGAAATACAGTCTCATACCTGATAAAACAAATAAGAAAAGAAAAAAACATACATATTATAAATAAATATAGTATTTAGAAGATAAAGGTACATGTATACAAGGGTGTGTTGAATTGAACAAGTCGCGGGAATTGCGATATGACCACAAAATTGAAAACTAACATTTGTAGAGTGTGTGAATAAACTGATTTTTGTTCATTTCAGTTCTTGCTTATTCGCAAAGCGTGTATATATAATTTTTTGTATTTTATTTGTTAATTTGGAACTTAATGGATATAAATTTCCCCATTAGCTACAGGTATTTTTAATAAATAAGAGAAAAAATATGCAATTTCTGTTTAACGAGAACTACTCTGAGCCTGCTTTGCATATTTCAAGGGAATCATTATGAGATTTGTTGGTATTAAAAAAGGCACAAGATTGAAAATTGGTTGAAATCTGGGCTTTCCAAGGTTTTAACCTGACTTTTGGTGTAAAGCAGCAAAACCAAGCTAAGTAGTTATTTATAAATGATGCTTTACTCTTTAAGAACGTTCTCGTCACTTTTCACAAAATAAACCTGCTTTAATTTTCTTTCATATTATTTTTTTTCAAATCCGTTTTCCCCGTGAAAAATTTTCAGGAAAAAATTAAAGAAAAATATTTGAACAAAACTGACAAAAAAAAAAGAAAAATGAAAAATGTTGCATCAAAAACAATGGGAAACATTTTTGCATTTAAAAGATTATTAAATATAAAGAAATTAAAAACCCTATTTTTCAAGGTTAGATTTGTAGTATACGTACCACTGAATGATTTCATCTGCCATGACAACAACCAATGCTAAAATACTGATTATATAACAAATTGAGTCTCTGAATAATGGCCACCAACTCAAGTTTATTACCTGTAATGAACAAATCATGCATATCATATTAATCCAGTGAGCACACCTTGCATTACTATTACTAACATATTCCTACCACCTGGTTTTTTCTGAAACCAATTTTTTTTTTTTATAAATTTTTCTCTAGCATATTAATGTAAATTGTTTTTAATTGATAAGAATTTTCATAATTTGATCAATCAAATGCATTTGTGGTGATAAAATTTCATTTTAATTCAAGAAATTATGGTTTAACTTTTAGAGTGCCAAAGTCAACCTTTCACAAAATAAAACCTACATAATTTTTTTTTCATCATTTTAAAAAACTTTTGATCAAGATCAGTAGCCAAAAGAAAATTATGTCATTTTGATCCAAAATTACAATCAAAGACATAAAATTGGGCACAATATTGAATCCACATCTGGGAAAAATTATGACACTACAAGCAACAAAATTTCCAAGAAAATTTAAAGGGATTATGGAAGAGATAAAGCTGTGGCCGCCATAAGGTTTTACAGCAGTGCAACATGCTGACGATATATAATAATCTCCATTACACATGGTTAGTCATATATACTGTATATTTATTCATTTATAAAATTCATACGCAACAACATGATTGGATCGTCATCACACACAAATGATAAAGGTAGAAAAGCCAAGATATCAAAACAAAGAAGCAGCCTCTCGGCTGAAATAGCTTCGCTGTTAGCAATGCAAATTTCAATGTACTTTTTACCAAAAATGACAAAAATATTCATAAAATTAGGTCCACATGTACGTACCTATATATATATATAATTTTTATTCTTCAAAAAACATCTGTAGGAGATCATATATATATCAAAGCAATCAGACTTGCAGTTTTCAACAAGTCGAAAATATAACTTTTTAACAAAAATTACAAAATTATTCATCAAAATTAGAGTCAGAAGTATAAAAAGTTGACACGAACGACATACACCGGTCGTCAACAGATAGTCAACAGCGGAGCTAATACATTGATGGTTGTTTCAATTAATGATCACAGATCGGGTTATTTCAAATAGCACTCGAGCAAATAACGGATGATAATAAATTTTTCAGACCATCTGTTTTCACAGAAATATAAAAACACATTCGACAATGAAGATGACGATGAAGATTTTGACTGACTGTATTTTTTAACCACGTAAATTCTGGTGGTACGTAAGTTAATATTGTAATGAAAACTGCATGTAATTTGTTACCATTTCTGTTTCAACATTGTAAAAGTCAATGACAACACAACTATTTCCCCCCAAAGACATACATGTAATATCCTCTTAATCTATCACATGGTGAACTAAAATTGTCATTTTGCACTGTTTTCTGAGGGGGGGGGGGGGGGCTTGGGTAAGCGCCAACCCCTAGAAAATCATGATTTTCTGAGTTGAGGACAGTGGGCGCTAATGCCGGGGAGTACGGTAAAAGACATAACACCATGTCCTCATTGTGATGTTTGATGGACATGAAAATTATTTTTCATGAGTGATGCAGTGTGTCCTCCGGTCGCCTTTTCAGGAGCAAAGTGAATGAAAATAACTTCCATATTCCACAAAGATCAGAACATATTCATCAGGATTAATACAATACATGCAGTATTTTTTTGAAAATCAAAACAAGCTATAACCTTTGGAGCTTCCCTGCTTCGTTTTCAAAAAATGTTCCAATTTCGAAACCGACTAATGGCGGTATAACTAAAAACTTGTTTACCAGTATTCGAGACGCAGGATGACTTCATATACAGTATTGTACTGTGGAATACTTTATTTTAGCTGGAATTAATTTTCATTGAAAAGGCTTTTTTGGGAGTTTTGTTTGGAATTTATTTTCACTGTTTTTGATGAGTTTAATGTGAAATATAGGAAAAAAAGTATATTCGCTGGATTTTATTTTCATGGAATCATCCCTTCAGCAAAAATAGCGAAAATAAATTCCAAGCGAAAATAAAGTATTCTACAGTATGTTAGCATCAATATCAAAGAATAAATGTGGCTCTAAATGCGCCTACATCTTGACAAGAGTCCAGAAAGTGTCATTGCTGGTTTTGATTCATAATCTTTATTGGTTTTTGATGCATTCAAAAGTTACATGATATGATTTTAATGGTTGATCTGTATAGAAACAGCAGTTTGTTTTGTTGCTAAATTTCTGAAGAAAACCGAATTTTGTGGGATTGTGATTAAATTAAATTATTTCATACACTTGTTTGTGTAAAAATGCAACTATGGAGGTTTTATTATTATTTAAATATGTATAACCATAACATTCTGCACAGTGGCAATTCAAGTTATGCATGACATTCCTAGAAAACAAATCTTTGAAAGAAACTATTTTATCTCATATTTATGGAGTCAATACCAATATTATTGAGCATGTTTGTGACTACAATATTGTAGTACAAATGTGAAAACCGTCCGTCCGTCCGTAATTTCTTGAATATTATGAAATGAATATACTATGATGCAGTCACAGCACATCACTTCGCTTCGCTTATCATGTCAATGAATCATGAAACAAGACTGTATTTTCCTCTTATATTATAAATTTTCATATTACAATTTCGATGTTTAACAAATTTAGGTGTAGAAAATTGATCAAAAAGGTAACCGGTACAGTGTAATAAATTTGACTGAAATCTGAAATGAGATAATTAATATGCAAATTAGCTACTTTATATGCACATACATGACCCTAAAATTATGTACTAAATTTGATCAAAATCTGCTCAGACGTTTTTGAGATTTGGCTACACAGAAACACATAGACCTAACATTGTGTACTTTGCACACTCAGAAGCTCAAAATTGGGTAATTCAAACACATACTAACTTACTTCTTGTATTGAAAAATGGGAAAAGTTAAGAACAAATTTTCACAAGTTTTTTTCACACTTCTGGATACTAAAAATACATACTAACTCTGATTTATCAACCACAGAGAAATTAATGCAATACTCTTAATGCAAGGATGAAATATTATCAGTGCTGTAACCTAGAAGATGAAAAAGACAAAAAACTAAAAGTAATTACCGTGCCTGCAAGAAGCCCACATAATGCTATAATACAGAGAAGATTGAAAACAGCAGAACCAACAATAGTACCGATGCCAACATCGTCTTCTGTGATAAAAACTCCTGGAAAATACAAATCAATGAATCATTATAAACATTTAACTTACAAAATGTAATTGTGGTGAAATATTTGAGCATACCATACATAAAATTTCATATTAAGCAATTATTTTTTTTTCTTTTGTGATACAAACAAAATATATTTTTTTCAAAGGTAAATAAGGTTTGGGGGGTAATGATATGTAATGAAGCCTCATTCCATGAGAGTTCCTTGTCATTTTTGCCAGCCAATATTCAGAATGGCAGAATTCCCATTATAAACCTGTATTTATTGTTAGCAAAATCCAAATAGAAATACATTTGGTGCATTTCCAAGGTTAATAAAACTCAAGTCAAGTGTGGGGACAGGTTTCCATAGGAAGTTGAACATGAAGTCATGTGTTTTTGTCTATGACCTATGACGTGATACCAGACTGCAATATCGATTGGTTGATTTGTTGTTACAAGAACGCTGAATGATGGATCAATCTATGCCCGATCATTTCACTTAACTGAAATTAAATACAACTTTCCCTAACACAATCACACAGGTTCATAGGATGTTGGGCTTTAGTGAAGCCATGTGAATCAGATGATGGTTTCTTGTTTGCATTAATTAAACTTGTTGTGAATAACATCACATTAACCTTTTCACCACCATAATTCGTCACCCAAATTTTCTGCACTTTTTTTCTTATATTCTTCAATAATTCTGGAAATGAACCTTAATTTTGGAGCCAGCAGAAAAAAGTTGAGTAAAGTTTCAGTTTTCACTCAAACTTTTTGGCTATTTTTGTTCCAATCTTCTGATGGAAAGTGCAGACTATAAATGGGACTATTTTGTGAATTTGTGATAAGAAGGAACTCGAGTGAAAAGGTCAAGCCATAATATATAATATAAAAATAACTGAACATACCCATGTAAACATTTCAAGAAAAAAGTCACTAGAAAAATTCTAAACTCAATTGCGATAATTTAATACATTTATTATGTGTTTTTCATGTGATTTTGTAATCAGTGGTGTCATTTGTATACACCTTTTTTTGCATATACATTTTCAAGTCTGTATAACATGCACCATTTAATATGTTATACAAATATGATTGAACCAATAAAGAATTGACCTTTGACCTAAATGTGCACTTTTTAAAAAAAAATCAAATTCTCTTATCAATATGCCAGCTATTAGGTGAAAATGAACTATAGAGGGACATACTAGTACATTGTTTCCAGAATCTGGCCAGTTGACCTAATTTATAGAGGTGATCTTTTTTCATCATCGATTGAAGGGCAGAGAAAGTATTGGGTTTTTACTGGTAGTTTTGAGATATTCCTGGATGAAGCTGTGTACTCTATTCTACACTACCTGGGATATTTTTTTTAGACTAGTCAGTTGCTCTCAATTTGTTATCTGGGACAGATATTTTTGTCTCAATGTGTCCCCTAGCCCTCTTTCTTGTGGTCCACCTTTGAATGGCAAAGTCAACTATTGTCAATTTTTCATTATTTTTTCAAAATTTGTGAAAAAGTCATGTAGCCAATGAGAAGTTAAACTGAAATAGCTCCGCCGTCCTACAAGAACATTATGGTAGCCAAATCAAGTAATGCAGTATAGTTTTGTTCTGGCTGTTAAGAACAAGAATTTAACGTCATCATACAAACTAAGTAATCGCGCTAGAAGAAGTCGAAAATATCATTTTTTACCAAAAATGTTTGCAAAAAATTAATGATATCGTCACGAAATGAAGGAGTCTGATAGAGGTCCACCCAAGGTACATACGCATATTATCAAAGTAATAGAGCTGGAAGTTTTCAAGAAAAAGTTGAAAAAGAAATTGTTGATTGCAATAGACAGGCGACCGATAATCATCTATATGAACAGCGCAGCCCTGTCATCTTTACAAATACATAGAAATTTGCAAAATATTGTACCAAAGTTATGGCGAAAAAAAAAATATGGGAATGGTTTTAACCCATGTGAATCCTGTAATGAAAGTAAGATATCATATATCAAAGAGCAAGTTTAAGGTCTGTTCAACTATTCAAAACAGTTAGACTGCTCCTGCTACTTTAGATGCTGTAGGCAATGATTTTAACTATTCATAATTCAACAAAAGATAAGTTTTGAGTTTCCAATGTTACTGAACGAGTTAATTTCAGCGATTTTAAGCTGGCTTTCTAAAGAGATTGTGATTCTACTCATCTATCACTCGCACAAATCAAACCCAGATAAATATAATTATTATTCTCCAAATCAATTTTGAAGAGATTTTAATTATAATGATAATTTTAATAAGTAGCTTCCCTTATCATTTGCATTCCCTTGTTCAAGAAAACCATCCTAAGATTCTCTGGCATTTGAAAAAGAAAAGCCTGAAAAGAGTGGTTTTAATAGTTTTAATATAGATATCCTCAAGAATGAAAATATTTGCTTATTAGAAATAATAATTCTTCATTTGTCTATTTCCTCGTCACTTTGTGATCAGGACTTAGATTTGTTCTATCCCACCCTCCCACTTGATCACTATCACACTCACCAATCACTGACGTAAAGAGCTCAGGAGCCGAACTTCCTACGGCCATGAAGGTGGCACCTGCTACATCGCTTTGTAAATTAAGTTCTAAAAATGGAAAAATAATAATTATATCTTCTAATATGAATGAATGTATAATGAGGTCCGAAATGTTACAAAAAATGTAGGATGACCTTTTTTTTCGTATTTCTTTTACAATAATTTGTCCTCTTAAAAAAAACATGACATGTATTTTACAGCCAAAGCTGTGCTGACTATTTTCTCTCAACAAACAAGTCTGAAATTAACAGTATCCTGATGAAAAATTTTAAGTACTATCTCGTTCCATTTGTTTAGAGTTTATCGCCACAGTATTAAAAATACATGATGATCTGGTTCAGAACCGAAATTCTGCCTGCTGACCAGAAACAAATTAAAGTTTTAAAGGCGTGTACTCTAACACCACCCTCATATTTCAATGGCAGCTTATACATGTATGCTTAACGGTCAGAATTTGATTTATTTTCAGTCAGGATATAACTTAAGGGGTTTAATTTCATGGAATATACATAAACATGGAAATACCTCCACTATAGCGGGAAACGACTATTTTGAATAGAAAATTAAGTTGAAATTTTGAACAGGATGATTTTTTCAAACAATCCAAGGTGGGCAAAATTAAAAATTTTGGTGAACAATTTAATGTATTATGAAAATCTGCTAAATAATTAGGGGATCAGATTTTTAGAGTACTAGGCAAATGTTCATGAAATCAAAAGTTAATCTATCGGCCCTATAGCAGGATGCCCTCAAGGTCACACATCCTGGTACTTTCTGGGGGTACAAATTCACTATCAATGAAAATTTGATTAACAATTATGACTAACAGGGTAGCAATAAGAAGATCATACATGTACACGAGGCCTATTGACACAATGCGTTTCGAGAATGCGATCTAAACTACGGTATTCAATGACTTACTCTCACTAATGCTCTCTAGGGAAGAGACGAAATAATCATCGCAGACAATGGCTAGTGCGATGAACATGTACAAGGAGATTAAGAAATGGAGAAGCACGCCACCATGCTGACGCTGCTCACGAGAAAATAGGTCGGCTGGAAACTGATCAATTGCTGGAGGAGTGCAGTTTGGCAGGTTAACATCATTCAACAATACAGCTGTAAATGTCACATTATCTGAAAATAAAGAGAATTTAGACACTGATTAGTGAAAAATATATATACTGTAAAGGGGGTAATTATTCACTGGGTTTTAATTTAGCTTATTTCGCTGACTGGAAAATGCGCTAAATTAAAACCCAGTGAATATATAAAATTTAGCATAGAACACATTATCTAAATGATAAAAGTGTGAATTTAAAACCCACTGAATATGCCTGAAATGGTAAATCAGTGAAATTTAAACCCAGTGAAAATTAGTCATTTTACAGTACTAAGTAAATCCCATAAAGAATTTTATTTTGTATAGAACTTATTTGGCCCTGTATCCTCTGGAGCAAGCATCCAAGCATTTTGACCACTTGACCACCATTGCCAGTGAAAACAGTAATAAACAGTCAGAAAACTGTACTTGTTGACTTTCTCGAACAGTGCAACAAGAGGGTAATCTTACATGTGCAACGTATATTAATTTGGCTGTTCAGCATTGCCTCAAAAGTTGAGTCTGTGCTGTTTTCTGGACTTCAGATGTTATCTGTTCCTGGACCTGCCTTCCACAGCAGCTCACACAGAGCCCATAGGATATACATGGTTGGGTGGTACATTTCAAAGCAACGTAGAACCCAAGAATAGGTAAGATATTGGTAGCCAACTTGAATATTTACTTGCCCAGGTTTATACAAAATCAAAATATCACAAATACACAAGATTTTGTGTAATTCGGGTCAGTCTGTGGTCGCGTTGCAGTTTACACAATTTTATACTTTTACATAATTTATGAAATGACATCATCGTGGATACATTAACCTATCCACAACATATATTCATGTGTAATTTGTAAATAAGTTGTCTGCAGCCATCTGGTTTATAGCAAAAGATTAATTATTGTTATGGTAATTAGGGTCAATCGACGTCCACACACAGGCGGCATTGAGCAATCAGAGTTTGTTTCAATTCAGTTCGGTTCATGCGTTCCTGTACCGGTCGAACACTTTCTTATCACTGTATTTTAGTAGAGTCATTTTGGAAATAAATAGTATACAGGTTGCACATTGCATCGTTATAAAAAAAACCTAACCGTGTCTGTATTTCTTTGATGCTATTGACAAGTTTGGAGCGGTATTATGCCCGTGATTGTGCCCAGTCAGTAATTATACCCTTGATAATTACACTTCATTTTATGCATACATATAACTGTTACCCAACAACAATTTTCTATATTTTGGATGAAGTAGCCAGGTAATTATACCATACTATCATTCTGATTGATCATTAATTATAATTATTAATTTAAAAATAAACTAAAATGAAATGAAGTACTTTAAGAAATACCTGAATAAATGTTACTGTGACCTACATTAATTACAAACAACATTTTAAAGTTAAAACGTATCTAAAAGCATTTAAATTTTGAATAACCTAATTGGCCACAAATCTGAAAGTTTATGTCATTTAGCGATTTTACTGACCAAAATCAGACATATTTCACTATTTATCAAGCTAGTTATCATTGTATTCAGTACAATAAAGGTAGTTAGTTTTAAATTATTCTACAGATACTGCTTGCTAGTCACAACTAACCTAAGAAGTGAACCTTAAGACTAGATGCTGTCTAATAACGCGAGACGTTTAAAATTCTATGAATATTAGACTAGTGAATCAGTCCAAGGGCTGTGGGCGAGCCTTACGTAGAGGTCAGTCTGCTGTCTGGGTATGCAAGATCCCATGGTAATGTACTGAAGTCCCATGCCAATCAGTAATGACATAGAATTCTGTGCCACGTACATATTTACATAGTGATTCACCAGGCTATTCTAGAGTGCACTAGGATGAACATTCTGGATTCCAGGCTAATTGAACCAAGGAACATATTAAGTAAAATAATGTAATGGACCAGACCTAATTATTCACTGGGTTTTATATCGATTTATTTTGCAGATAGCTAACCGCATTGGATTAAAACTGATATTCAAATTAAATACAACACATCGTTTCTTCCACAAATCAGTGAATTAAAAACTAAGTGAATATCTCTGCATTGCAACCTCAAATCCGCAAAAATTAAACGCAGAAAATATTTCCGTCTCTCTAATTAGTGACACTACCCTGTATATAATTTCATAATAGAAGATTTAAAACACTATAGAGGAAACAACTCCATTCCTATTCTTAATTCAAAAAATGAGTCATTAGTTTTATTTCACATTGGTTTTGGGATATGGTCCATATTAAATCGTCAACATAATATCAAGATCACACCAAAGCTCACAATCACAATTAAATCTACAGAAATGTTTGGACATTTTTCATTAAAAATACCGATACATAATCAAATACCATAACTAAGTTGCAATTGTGAGACAATGTCAAAGACTTCAAACAAAATGATTATTACTGTACTGACAATACAAATTTAAAAGTTTACGATGAGTATTTTTAATAGGTAATTGGTCAAGAACTGCAAGTCACATACATGCAGCCACTGAAAGAATAATTAATATACATTCAATGATTGTTTTGCAAAGGTGTCACATGGATATTTATCAAGCCACATATTGAAGGGATATTTTATTCCAACATGTGCTACTGATCTATAATGAGATACTTTTCAGTGATACAGGAGTGCTGTATTAGTTGTCAACTGTCAACTCAGGTGGCCACATGTACATTGTTGCCTAATGCAAACAAGAGAGGTAAATTTAATGTAATACAACAATATTGGGTTTTTAAAAATTGCGAAACGTGCGTACCTAGTTATTGCTATTCACAGAATACTTAGAAACTATAGATGAATTAATCTACTTAAAACACTTGCATGATTCAGAGGTTTCAGAGATGAAGCAATAAATAGAGTATGTTAACTTTATAAATCATCAACAGGATTAAATACTTTAATTTTTCAATAAACAAGAAATGATATTATTGACTAATAAACACCAGTCGACCAAATGAAATCAAATATATTGCATTTTTTGTACTACTAGTAGAGTAAATATGGCACAGACAAACTTGTGTATATTTGTCCAGAAAAGAATGAGATACTGGTGCAATGAAAACGCGTACATCTGTCACTGTAACGCTACAAGTTACAGCGTGCCGTAATTTTGCGGTATTTTCATCCTACCATATTAGGAAATGCCAATTCCAAATAGGGAATGATTAGGCGCGTACGCTTCCTCTAATAATATAAACAAACATGGCTGACCTGACGCAACACAAAGAAGTTTGCTGATTCTGTTCTAAACTTTTTGGATTTCTGCATTCCCATGATGTATCCTTGGAAGGAAAAAATGTATTACAAGCCATGCATGCACAGTCCCCGTTAGTTATCAAGATGTATAGTTTTGTTATGGATCCAGAAGCTGATGCTTGATTATAATGTTTTTTTTAACATTAAAATGATTGACATTCAGTTATCTTGTATCTAATCGTCAAATGAGTAGGTACTTGTCCATATTGAGAGATATTGCTGTGGAACAGCATTAATTCAAACAAAATGGCCACTAGTCGCCCATTTTGAATACATCTGTATATCTATACAATGTAACATGATGCAGAATGAATATATCAAATTTGAAGTAAAATCATATCAGAGATACCACATTCATTAAAATAAATAAGCCACCAGTCATTTTTAGCCATTTTGAATCAGATTTGAAAAATAAAATGATGTGCATCAGGGACCCATAATGTCTTATGCATGTACGAAGTTTGAACAAAATCAGTCCATAAACGACCAAGATCCGGTTCCACAATGCAGAAATGCTTTATTTTGATAATTTTTTAGCACAAAAATGGCCGCCACTTGGCCATGGAGCAAATACAAGTGCATACGAGACTATAATAATCTGCATTAAGACTTAAATTGACTCATTTTTGTTATTAACATTTAAATTCTCTTTAGTTTGTTTACATTGAATGCAACAATATGTCACCGAGAGCAAATGATCATGCATCTCACATAAAAGATGTAAATTATTACTATCAGAATAAGAGGTTTTTTTTTGACATCGTATATACTGGTAGCTTTACATTATCACACTATAATGTATACAATAACCTCTATTCGCAAGTGAATTCTTTTCAACAACAACAAAAACAAACAAATTTAACTGAATTCGTTTAAATCGAATGGTGGTGATAATATTGAATCCTTCCAGCATCATATTGGATTCGGAGAATGGTCATGATGATTCGATCTCAGCTTCTTCTCGCACATTATTTTGCCATAGAGTATTCTCCTAATTCAATATGACACTGTGGCAGATTTATTATTGGTTAAATAATGAGCTAAAATTTAAAAAAAATTAGTTGGATACACTTTTAACTACATTAGCTATACTTAAATTAATTTGTATAGCTATACTTAAATTAATTTGTATATAGTTCCAGTACTAAACTATAGTTGTAAGCTATTTTCAGATCCTTATTCTTTTGCCTAAACATATCACCTAATGATATGAATGGGAAAGAAAAACTTTGTTGACAAGGGATATTAGTACCATGTACTGATATACCTTTGAATATGGTAATGCTGAATACAGTCAATATGTTCAATATACTGCCTTTGTGCATACTTAGTGGTATGAAGACAAGCAGCCTCTCGGCTGAGATAGCTCCGCTGTTAGCAATGCACATTTCAATTAAAGAACTGAAGACATCATTAGAAAATGAACAATATGTATAAGTATCAAAGCAATCGGACTTGTGGTTTTTAACAAGAAGTCGAAAATATCACTTTTTACCAAAAATGACAAAAATATTCACCAAAATTAGAAAATTAAAGATATCATTACAAAATGAACAAATCTGAGAGAGGTCCACATGTAGTACCTACATTGTATATATGTAATATCAAAGCAATTGGACTTGTGGTTTTCAACAAGAAGTCGAAAATATCACTTTTTACCAAAAATGACAAAAATATTCATGAACATTGACACGGTTGATGGACAATCACTCATATGATAAGCTCCGCTCGACACAGTCGACAACGGAGCTAAAAACACATTCATGAA